AGAGAGAGTATTGATATAGATGATAGATAGATTCTATGAGAGTTACAGCCAGAGTTTTCAAGAAAAATAAAGGACAATGTGGAAAGACATTGGGTTCTTACAAGCATGTCGAAGTGAATTAGTCATGCAATCAATAGAAGAACTAGACGAGTATATTTGTCAACTTTGTTTTCCTCCACATTTGAATTATTAAAAAAAACTGATTCTCTCCTAAATATAAGAAATTATCAGATGCTGATAAATTCTTATGAAACCGAAGTGAAACAAAGGTCTCCCCAGACTTTGGTTGTCAGTGGTTGGCATTTTGGAGGTCCACCTCCAACTAAGTGGCTCCTCCTCCTCCTCCACTTCTGTCCCATTTAACTTTTGGATGAACAGATAAAGCAGAGCCTTCACTTCCCTTACCTAGACTTTCCAGTCAATGGTACAGGTGAGTCCTAGAGGGAATGGAGAATCAATGCTCCATGTTGACATTGGCAAGGGGAAGGGTACAGTGAAGGAATGAGAAGCCATTCAGTTATTTTCCAGAACTGACCTTCAAAGTCTGGGGCAAACCCTGAACTTATCCCCATTCAGAAATGGTCCTTTTAAAAATTCTAGGTCAGCATGGATTTGGAAGGCATTGGCTTGAATGGGGATCTGAATTTTGCACACCAGAGGACTGGATCTAGGACCATTCCAAAACAGAAGTGTTCTTACATTCCACTTTCTTTATCTCTCCGTAAAAAATAAAAAAAATCCAAGTTACAGAGGTTAGTCCTTACAAAGCACCAGGGGTGCAAAAATTGCTGCAAAAAATATTATTTTAGGTCATTCCAGAGAGTGACACTTTTTCATAAAGCTACCATTCAGACTTGCCTTAATCCTTTGGGCTGCAGAATGAGCTAGAAAGGTGCCAAAGTCTCCTTAGATGAACTTAGAGTACCTGCTCTTTGCTGATCCTGATGTTCCATAAAGCTCCCTTATCCTTAAGGTATTAAGCCATTGCTGCTATAACCAGGCGCTTTTTCAGTTTCAGTCTTTTGGCTTCAGTTTATCAGTAGCGTTCCTTGCTGGGTGCTTTTTTGTGCATTAGAGAAGTAACTTGGAAACACTTAAATGGAAAAAGTAAAGACAGTGGAAGTGCAAAAGGGAAGCCAGGAAGCTGAGTTGTTCAGAAGCAAGAAAACTTTCACCTTCTAAATATAGAATCACAAATGATGAGCAAATAAAAGACTGATGGAAAGACATGTCAAAGATTAGTAAGGAAAGAGCCTAATTTCAAGGCTTCCTGAATCAGTGAAGAACTGTTAGGATGGGGTGCATTAATTGTTTCTTGATATTTTTATTGAATTTTTTAACAACGTGAATGATATGCAGTGTTCCTTCCAATATTTCACAGATGAAAACCGAGACACATGTGGCCAAGCAACATCAGAATGGATCATGATGGCAGAAGTTATGAATGAGGAAGAACACACAAGCTAGGAAGGGCTGCAGCAGTTTCCTTTTGCCTAAGTCTACTGGGAAGGGGAAGATTTTGCCCTCTCCTGCCCACTTCTCCCCACCCAGAGTAAACTGAAATACTTTTACACTTCAAACACAGTTTGCAGTAATTGAAGTATATTTTATTTTATTTTATTTTATTTTATTTTATTTTATTTTATTTTATTTGCATGCCACCTTTCTCCCCGAGGGACCCAAGGCAGCTCACAGATAAAAAAACATTTAAAATTTTCAATAAAATTCAAAACAATTTAAATCATCTATGAACAATATAAAATCACATAAAAACATATAGAAGTTAAAAGCATGACTAAAACTCACCTGGTCCTGATATGAAGGGTGTAAAGCGGGAGGAGGGGAGAAACAGGGACATTTTAAATTCAGCCGATAAAGTGTGAGGATTTGTCAGGACTCTCCCTGCTAAATCAGGACAGTTGGAGGTTATAATTCAAGTAGCAAAATACAACAGCTAACATCCTTTTGTGATACATGTGTGTGCAAGTCCCTTTTTGGAGGGAAGACAGCGTCTATTCTCCTGCCCTTGTTCTCTTTTGAAAACCCTCCCATACCTGGCAGCTATGTCAAGTCTCAGAAGGGGCAACTCTTCCTCCTCCTTGGCAGAGGTAATGGAGAGGCAATTCATACCACAAAGATCTATCTCCTCTGAGCTCTGTATTGTTCTGTTGTTGATTGTGTATTGTTCTGTGTACAATACACAGTTTACATGGTAATCAATCCTCCCTACCCAGGGTCTCACAGTATATATATACCCACTCTCTTCCATTCCAGCATTCTCTGAAGATGCCAGCCACAGATGCTGGTGAAACATTAGAAAGAAACTCTTCTAGAACATGGCCACACAGCCTGAAAAACCCACAAAAATCTATGGATGCTGGCCATGAAAGCCTATGACTAAAACCAGTTGTTTCTCTATGGTCTGAATTTACTTCCCCTCCTTCCATCCATCCCCACTACTAAGCAACAGCAACAGGAATCCCTGACAGCTCCCAGGTGTACAATCTTGGCCAATATAAGACAGCTAACAAAATGAATCAAAGGCCATAACAGCCTTGCAATACCCTTGTACCACTTCTGTGTGCTGACATTTGATGGCTAAGCTTCACAATGCACTTTAGTTTTGTTCAGCTAACGCTGCTGTGCTTTAGACGAAACCATGAGAGGAATCACATGGAGGCGCTGATGTGTTAATGGCCTAGGCATCAATCAATATTGCTAAACAAAGATAAATCTGCACTGGAGAAATAACGCAGTTTGACACTGCTTTAACTGCCATGACTCCATGCTATGGAATTCT